TAAGGTACCCCAGTTTAAATGGACTTCATTTTAATGCACTGCCATTTAACCCAGACTACCTTAAATCCAACAAGTTGTCTTGCTAACCCAAAAATCCTGCTTTGTGAATCAGGCCCCTGCTCAACAAGGGAAGCTCAAATTCTAGATGACGTAGCTCTTTGGATATTTAAGGCAGAACCATTCACTGTGCTAAGGTCGCTGTTCTCATTGGGGTATTATCTAATGTATAAGAATATTTTTTTCATTCATATAAGTATCAGTAGATTAATTTTTAAAATTATTTAAACTTGCAGCCAAAACATGCAGTCAAAGGCAAACATACAGAAAATGATTAACGGATATATATATATATATATATATATATATATATATATATATATATGGTGGACACAATGTAAAGGTGTTTGTCCACTGACAAGACTGAGCAAGGAATCCAGAATAAAAAGAATTTAAAAAACCCCTGAAGGTATGAGGTCCGTATGAGACACATTAATGCATTATTGATTTTGTCTGATGATAAGAGATTTAGAAAAGATTAGTTGTTACCTTAAAACTAAAAAGTGTCTTATGTATCAAAGATGAATCCAATGCATTTCATTTCATTTTGTATCCTAAGACGACTGGGAAACAGGAAAACAACAGGACTTACTACAAGCATTCATAGGAAGTCATTTTGAAATCTCAGGTACTTCTGATGAAAAAGCCTCATGCATGGTGACAACTAATCACTTATTTGTTATGGGTTCTTTTCAACAGATAAGGAAGTACAAAGCAGGCGAATCCACGGACGATTGTGGCATACTTGTTTGTTTGTTTTTTTCGATTAATCTTAGTAAATGTTATATGTACTTTTATTACGTGTATTTATGTTATATTTGTATATAATCCGTATTTGGCTTGTACATTGCGTATTGTCTAAAATTATATGTTGATTGTCTGTTTATTGCCTGTGCAACTTGAGAGACACCATCGACCAGAACCATATTCGTTGCGTAACACACTCGGCCAATAAACCTAATTCTGATGTATTGCAATTTTTTTGTTATTTTGACTATTAATTGATGTCCTGTCTGTTGCATTTCAACACATGCTGATTGCTGCAAACTGTATGTGTAAAGATTGGTCAAGATGCATGTATTTAAAGGGGTAATTCATTATGATATGTCTATTAGTTTTAGTGCAGTGTTTCTCTAAATGGAGAGCACCAGACAGTCTATGTTTATGCTCCCCACTGGGAGGGAGCAAAAATATGGGCTGTTTGGGGGAGCCAGAGGACAGTTTTGAGAATTTTATGTTTCAGTCCACATAAAATTTTGGAAACAATTATTATACAGGTGATGCAATAAAAATTGTATAATAACATATATTTATTACCTTTTTCAATTTATATTTTACACATTTTCACAGTCACAATTAGATTTCTCAGTTATCTTTGTGTATAATAATGTTTAGAAGGAAAACAAAAGGTAATTCATAATGTTTTTAATCCTGTCCATATTGTGTTATGATCAATTAACTTATTTCTCAGTTGTTTATAGTATAATATAGTTAGCAATTCCAAATGTTAAATGAAAAGTTGTTTTTTTTTACATTTAAGATGATTTATTCTTTATTCATATCAACTTACCTATTTTATTGAAAATATTTTATTTAAAAATAACCTAATTAAACTCAGTCAATCAAAATTTTATCTTGAATAAAAAATAAAATGATCGCTAGGGACACTGGAATGAAAGCTTGACTATTAAATTAAGTTAAAATATAGGTCTGTTTTTTTTACAATGAAAAATATCTAATAAATCCATTAACAGAAGAAAGCATCATATTGTGTTTCACAGTTATTATAAGCAGGGATGTACCCATGCACTGAAAGCATGTTTGGAATTGTTGATTCCTGTGAAATTAGCAGTATTATTTTATGCTTAGTATTATGTATTTTCATGCAATTTCCATAAAGTCACATGTAGGTAACATCACACTTAATGAACATCCCAAGCAGATTAGGACTCTACACAAAGTGAAATGCCGCAATCTAGATTCAGGCAAAAGGAGAAAAAGATCATTTCTGACATTTACTGGATAATAATAATACCAGAAGGAAGTCAACTTGTACTTTATTGATTTCAACAAATCAAATGTTTTGACTATTTTCTATGTTCACAGGAAAATGGGTGCAGATGTTCTCATTGTTAGTATGAAGATTCTCTACGCTGAATGTAACACCACAGTAAGAACAGAAAATGGCAAAATTATGGCTAAATGTGATGAACACAGAGGTTATAAACAGAATCTAGCAGTCTGGGAGAATGTTTCAGATGGACTCTTTTGGCAGAGCTGTGATGAAGGACCTAGAAAAAATCTTATACTGAAATAGTAGTTGATGTTTCTCTGACAAAGTCTAAGATAGTGTTTCCCAATCCAGTCCTTGGGGACCTGCAGACAATCCACATTTTTGCTCCCTCCCAGCTCCCAGTAAGGGAGAAAAACGTGGACCGTCTGTAGGACCTGATTGGAAAACACTGCCCTAAGAACACAGACTAGAAAAATTCAGAATATGGACCATTCCATTGACTTTTTTATGGATGTTGACTTCTTAAGAACTGAACTTTGGTGTCAGCAAAGACAGCAAATACCGTTTAATGCAAGAAAAACAAATGGATTCTTGATCAAATTCAGCCTGAACTGTCATTTGATGCACAAATGACCAAACTGAAGCTATCATATTTTAAGCGAAAAAGAGAGTAATGATTGGACGAGTAGCAGCAGCATGGATAAACTCACACTGAAGGTAGAAGAATCGGAAAGAAGACAAGACATTTTGGAGGACTGCAGTTTATATGGTTACCAGGATTGCACCTATTAATAATAATAATAATAATAACACTTTTTATTCAGAAAATTCCTTTAAGAAATTTATTTTGGTTTTAAAGTGCCTATTTTTGTCATGTGCTCCTACAATAAAGCCAACATGAAGCATAGGGGACATTTTTGTGACAGTTACCATAATTTTAGTAACATTGCATCATAGTTTTGATGGCATATGTATTAACAGAAGAAACAGCATTATATAACAGTAGTGCAATGATCTTACAATCCAGTTAATTTTGCAGGAAAATTTCCTTTAAAGGCAAAATGATTCAAAAGCTCTACAACAGGCAGCCCTTACAGCTCATTGTCTAAACATATAATTTAACATATCACAGTCAACTTTTTAGAAAGACTTCAGTAGTTGGAGGGTAATAGGAAAAGAGGAAAAGATGAGTTCACCTTATCACACATTCACTTCTCATTCAAGTTTTTCAGTTCCACTAATAAACAAATAAACATATATGTTACTGTTAACTAAATGACACAATTTCAGTCAAACTGCAGTCAGCTGATGATTGTGACACGCCATCATCATAATCCACCACAAGGCTTACATTTCTCCATTTGATGACAAGCAAGAAGGTTCTAAAAAATCTGATGGCAGGTGAAATTACATTAAAAGGTAATTCAATGATCATTATGTCTGTACAGTTACTAGTATATTTAAACACAACTGACATAAAAATAGTTATGCAAATTTATGAACAATTGTTTAAATAAATTACATACTGTCAAACACTGTCACAAATTACTAGGGACAGATAAATGACAGTATCACATACTATACATTTGTAAAATTCTGGTCGCAATTTTACATATATGACAAAACAGCAAATTTATTTCTGTAAGACTAACATTCTACTATTATTTGGCATTTCAAGGCATAATTGTTGTGTTTCTTATCAAGGCATAGTGTGATGATTTGTACCCCAATTAAAGAAACATATTTCTGCAACTTTTTTTTTGCAAAAATGTTGAGAAATTCACATGTATTATTTTTATTATTCAGGAAGAATAATGGCTTGTTGCAGATTTTTAAATTAATGGTTGATATAAAGAGACTGATATTTCATTTAAAATTATACTTTAAACAATGGTCCAACTCCTGGTTTATCTGCAGTGATCCAATGGCTTGGCGATAATATATTTGTTAAGTGCACATTTATTACAGAACAATAGGCCAGGTTACATATCTAACACAGAGCTTTGTCAAAAAATGTAATTTAGCTGCTAGCAATTTAAAGCAGGTCTGTTATTCCCATGCAGTTCCAAAGGTGACAGTTTATATACATTTTCACTGCTGTGGTTGCCAAGAACCTTAACTGTCGGTTACATTAACATAACTAAATACTTTAATATCAATATCCATCAGTCTTTAGTAACCACTTGTCCAGTGTTTCTAGGTTGAATGCGTACACTACGCATACAAGGAACTGAGTCTGGAGACAGATTGACAGCTAAATATGCAAGGTGATTGGTTTCAACCACTAATGTATCATTTTGCCAGCGATAGCAAAGTATAAATCAAATATCCAAATAATATTACTAATAAAGCTGAGATGTATGTTTGTGAGTTGCTGCAAGTTTATATGAATAAGGGAAATTTTAAATAATTTAATAGAATATATACACTCACGGCCCACTTTGGCTTCAATTAATTCTCAGATCAAACATCAGAATGGGGGAAAAATATTATTTAATTGACCAAGGCGTGGTTGTTAGTACTAGACAGGTTGTTTGAGTATTTCATGAAAGGCTGATCTCCTGGGTGTTGGCATCAGCAGTTTCCCAAGTCCGCACCCCCCCCCAGAAGGTGACATCCTATGCAGCTGCCTATGTTACGTACAGTAATGGGTTTTTCATACACAACATTCTCTGGAGTTCACACAGAATTGAGCAGAAGTTCTGTGTATGGAAAATGCCTTGTTAATTCAAATAACCACTCATTACAACAGTAGCGAGCAGAACCTCTAGGTCAGGGGTCACCAACATGGTGCCCACGGACCAGTTCTAAAAATAGCACAACTCACCAGTGAGCAGCGTCTAAAATTTAATCTTATCCTCTTGCTATTCTTCTTTAATCACATGTGCATTTATATAGATTTGAAAATGACAATATCTAAATAAAGCATTTAATACATGAAGTTTAGATAAGTTTAGGAGGGTGTTTCAAACTGGTAGCCCTTCGTATGGCTCAGTACCCGTGAAGTAGCTCTCAGTTTCAAAGAGGTTGGTGACCCCTGATCTAAGTAGATGGGCTGCCACATTAGGTTCCACTCCTATCGGCTAAAAATGGGAAAATGACACTATAGTGGGCATAAGCTCAGCAAAATCATATAGTTGATTAGAAGAGTGGAAAAATGTCACAGAATTTAGAATTTGGTGTAATTATGAATCTATGGACCTACCCTGCCTTGTGTCAAAGTCCAGGCTGGTGGTGATGTAGGGAATATTTTCTTAGCACACTTTGGGCCATTGATACCAATTGATCATTGCTTGAATGCTAGAGCCTACCTGAGTACTATTGCTGACCATGTGCATCACAGTTTACTCATCTTATAATGGTTACTTCTAACATGATAATGCACCATGTCAAAAAGCAAAAGTTGTTTGAAGCTAGGTTTATACACATGACAATGAGATCAACATACTTCAATGGCCTCTCCAGTCACCAAATGTGAATCCAATAGAGGGCCTTTGAGTTGTGGTGGAATGAGAGATTCGCAGCAGAAATGTGCAGCAGACAAATATGTAGCAATCTTGCGATATCAACATGGACCAGAATATCTAAGGAATGTTTCCAACATCTGGTTGAGTCCAAGCCACAAAAAATCAGGTCTTTCTGACAGCAAAGGGTGGTTCTTCTCAATATTAAATTGTTGTTTTAATAAAGTACCCCATGAGTGTAAATGCTGTATGTCAGGATCGGTCCCTGCCTTGTCCAATTCTGCCTGTCGTTTCCCCATTTGGCCAGCAGGTGTCACTGACCATCCAGTTCTCTCCTTGCTGTCTCCTTAGGTTCAGCAAAGTTCTTTGTTCCTATTGTTTTTCCTTGCTCCCTGGGCCGCCGCGTGGCTGAATGGGCTGTGCAAGCGGCTAAGTAATTGTGGTTCCCTTTTGTCATGGGCCAATTATGTTGGACATTTTGTTGCCATTTGTTGCATTTGTTGTCGTGTTTATTTATTCAGAATCAGTCCTTACTTTTAGTGTCTTTGTTCCAGGTTTACCCTGCTTGTGTCCAGTTATGTAGTTACGTCTAATGTTCCTTTTCTCTCCTGTGTAGTTTCTAGGTCCTAGTATTTTGGTTGGTTGTTAATGACCCACACCTGTTCCTCATCTATCCTCATTACCAGTATATATATATATATATATATATATATATATGTACCTGCCCGATGCTGGTTCCTCTGTCATTCATTATAGGTGTTGGATTGTGTTTACCTGTGTTTCTTGTAGTTCCTTGTAACTCCCCTTTCTTAGTTTGTTGGATGGCCGTGTGCTCTTTTGCCGTTTAGTTCTGCTGTAGTTAGTTGCCATGTTGTTTATCTTCCTTTGTTTAGACCACTTGTGGTCCTATTTTGTTTCATGTTCATTTACTTAAGTCTTTAATAAAGTTCCTGTGTCTAAGCCGCAAAGGAGAACATCATCCCCTCATGCCACGCTTTGACATATATACCGATTAATAGCCCATTCTTGATTCATAGACTTACCAAAAAAATCAAGTCATTTCCTTTTCTACCTTATCTACAGTAAAAACATAAAAATCAGCTACACACATTATCAGTAATTCAATAGGGCTGAGTTGATTAGTAATACTCATTATCTGATAACTCAAAGTGTGTGAAAACAAATGGCTGAGGTGAAATGCAGACTGACCATTCGGAAGTTCGGGAATTTTCCCTGTGGGCCGGTTTTGTGAGGGTCGGTCTATCTTTCCCAATCATGGTACTAAACAGCCTATATATAACCATATATTATAGAGCCAACCAGTTGATCACGACTAACAAAATACTCTTCAACAAAATATACCATGGAGGACCCCCCCGGTCAGCAGCAAATTCCCAAACTGTTTTTGTTGTCAGTCTGCCCCTGGCTGAGGTTGAGTCGGTGGGCACCAGAGTGAATGTAGCAGCTTAAACTTTTAGGAAAAAAACTGTAACAGCATATGCATTGCACTCCATTTTGTGAAGTATATTATTTTTAACATGTTTGGCTGGTTAGGCCTGTTTGGTGATGTTTCACCTTCTCTCTACGCAAATACTTAAATTAAGTCGGTTAAGTTAGATTTTTCAAAAATGAGCATTTACAATGAAATATTAAACTGAAATATTGTGCATCCAATACCTTCTTGGCATGCTAAAATGCATTGGTTAAATATTTAAAGCAGCATCAAGTTTTCATATAGTTCATATAGGAACTGGCTGTTTTTTTTTAATTCATCAGTAAAGTAGTTTTATTTTGCATGTTGTAGCAGCATATTCATTTGCATTGTTTTTTACCCTCCCTTGCATCAGTGGGAAAGAAATGATTACAGGCACCTGTGTTTAATGTCAAGCAAAGATGACCTTACTTGGCTAGAGAAGGATTCAGCAGTAGCTTGTTATTGCCATGCCTCCTTTTCTTTCTTTTGCTTAAAATTAATTACTTTCTAGTCTTGAAAAAGATTATATGCATATAATTAATCCCGGTATGCACTTCAAACTTCAAGTTGTTAATCGCTTATTATTAAAGCTTAATTCTAGTAAATTTGACATGCACAATAGCGACAGTATGTGTTTGCTTAGACATCCTATATTTTGTTCTATGGCTATCCTTTTTCCAGTGCATGTTAATGTACATTAAAAAACGTTTTTTTAACATAATAATTAACTGATTAATTGATGATATGTATGCCTTATGAGGTTCAGACGAGCGTCATCAAAATAGATTTGATGACAATAAACTCACATGTTAGATCCTTCTAAAATATATAAAGTGTATTTTCTAGCCATAAATATCCTTTATTGCTTTAGAGATTATTACACTTTCTATTTAATTTTCCCTAGCATTAATTTTATGGCATATTTTAATAACCAACAGTTAAATCTTAATGTAAATATTTATGTGAAATATTTGCTTAAAAAAATACTATGGAATAGTATGTAAACATGTATTCGATTCTAAGTTTTAAAGGAATAAATAATCATTGAACAAAAGAGTATAACTACAGTATAAGTATAACTTCAGGTTAGTATAACTTCAGGTTAGTATAACTTCAGGTTGCACAGCAGCATATTGTACCACCATGACAAAAAAAATGAAAGCCCAGCTTTTTTATGTCTTTGTCATGGGGGCAGTGATACACGTAAAGTTTTGAACTATTTCATGTTATTTCAGTTGATGGCTGTTATACTTAATCAATTCAAAACAGGACCTAGGAAACAGTCTTTTGTATTATTATAATCTACCAATCTAACAATAATAAATCAAATTTCCTACATATTTAAATCATAAAAGCGTTCCAATGCATTTCATATGTTAGAATTGTTTTTCATAAAATGCATTTAAGTGTCGGGGGGGGGGGGGATATAACCTGAATGTCATTTATCTGCTTTAGAAACTTAAATTGAAAAGTTCTCTCTCTTATGCAATGACCTATGAGAAAGTCCTGAATAAATGTTTGCGAAGTTAAAGCCATGTATTAGTTGTACGGATTTGTTAAATCTAATACTTGGGGAAATAGCCCATAAAAAAAGTGAATATATGCTATTTTGCCACATATATTTGCATATATAGATGTTCATGTCACAGTCATATAAACAAATGTAACACATTTCATGCCTTCTTTGGTGTTTTGGATCCAGCTTTTGATCCTGAGAGGCCATTTTCTGTGTTATCAATCCCTGAGGAACTCACGAGGCACTCTTTGCTGTGAACAAAAAATAAACAAAGATTGTAGGATAAATGGGAGGCTTACATTTACTCAGGACTTACAGCAGTGGAAACCCCAGATTCTCATTTAAATAAGTAATGACTGCTACCCTCCCAAACAGAAACAAGCTACGTTTCTCAAAAAGCTGTCCCTGTAGCATAAATTCCGTACACACCCTCCTTTAACACATCACCCTTTTGTTCCACCCCGTACTTCCACTCTCTGTCACTTACTTCTTCTCTTCAATCTTGGCGAGGACATAGAGAGTGAAGTTCTTCAACAACATGAAAGCCATTAACAAGCCAATAGAGCCTCCCACTGCCGCCGCAATAATGAGGGTCAGAGTGTTGTCGACCACCCTCACTGGTGAAATGCGACAAGGTCGGTAGAGAACGTGAGGAAGGGGAAAAATATTGGAAAAGTAATGAGTTATGAGTTAACCGTCAAAAGAAAAACAACTATTAGTCATTTACTAATGTCTTCTCTTAAGATGTAACTGTTCATACTGTGTTTAATTGTGGGAGAAGCTCGCAACAGATACCTTGATACTGTACATATTTAATCCTCCTATTCCAAAATAAATGTAGGACTTTCTAAGACTGTGTAGATTCATTGGGTAAAATGAGACTGTTCTTGAAGTTTTGGGTAGGCTACCACTCCATAACCCTTTCTGAGCTCATCGAGATGGCAGAATCGGTTTAAAAGGGGGGTAGGTTCTATTACAGGAAGGGGACTAATGGGTTTGTTTTTGTGTGACTGTCTTTCATCGCCAGATATAATATAAATTACTGCGTTGGGTGTTTTGTTTTGCCAGTGAACAAACGTTTCTTTCACTTCATCCTGCGTTTTCACTTCTCCTCCTCCATGCTCAGTCATTTCTGGAGGTACCAGTTCTCATCCCAGCTTCAGCCCTTTCACCCCCTGCTGCAAGCCTAACCCTGTCTGTACCACCATACCCCCTGTGATGTGACTGTTCACTCTCTTATAGGGCCATCTAGGAACACATGAACTGTGCCATATTTCTGAACCACCTAGTAGTGCAAGCTGCTCCTCATATGTAATGTCGATAACAGCAGCACCTGCCAAAAACTGTTAGTACTTCTTACCAGGCAAGTACAAGCCTTTGCATTCTAGGCACCACAAATATAAACCACCTACTGGGCCTTGCTCCTGGTGCATAATGCTAAAACACTGGATATGTGAAGACTGGCCAAGGGGATAACTTTAGGTTGAATACTGGGGGTTGAGGTATCCACATATTTAAGAGGGTCCGTGGGGTTGTATTGGCTGGTTTTGATTATTTGGGGGGTTACAACCCCCCACCCCCCATAATTAATGCCCATGACACTGGCTATTTTAGCTATCTAGATTTTCTGTTCATCTTGATGACCTTTGATCCTTACATTTGAAGGTATTCTGTTCAAAATTTTAAAGCCTTAAAATGGCAAATATTTTGTATTAATAAGGACAAATTGGAAAATAAATAATATGGCCTCCCCCAACCAATACTTTGTATCCAAACATTAATCACTAGTTTACATATTTTTGTAGAATCATGGCTAAATTATGTTAGTGAAATGTATAATAGTGTATAATAGTAAAGATTTTCTCCTTTGAGGTATTATTATTATTCTTTTTAAAAAATATGTTTTTTTTAGGAATATTAAGCTCCTCACACTTGTCCACGACGATAAGGGTGAAGATTGCACTGTGATTTCTTCCCTTCTCCTTGGGGTTGCGGCCATAGCAGGTATACTGCCCTTCATCGTCAAAGGTTATATTCCACAGCAGGATGGAGACGTTGCTGGTTTTGCTAGTGCCCACGAATTCCACCCTTTCCCGGAAGATGTTCACGTGTGGCTCCATGTTCTCATTAGGGATCACCGCCTCGCACACCTGAGGAGGTGGGCAAATGTTACTGAAGCAACAGGGGACTGTTAACAATAATGCTAACCCTGGGTGTTTATAAAGGAACCCACTCAATGGGGATATTGCACTTGGTTATATAATTAATTTGCCTAATGGCTAATAGGTGTGTGTGTGTGTGTGTGTGTGTGTGCGCGCGCCTATGTATGTGCACGAAGAGGGGCACAATTATTTTCTGATTCAGTTGGCATCTATTCTCCCAGGCCAGTGTTGTTTCTGAATTTGTTCTCACAGCTTATCGCCTCCACAGTTTTCACCGGGCCTAATAAATATGTCTCTTAAAACTACACTGTTAAGAATAAAAATCTGGGCTGGGTTTCCCGATAACGGTGCCGTTTAGCGTCTTATGATGACTCTACGAAGAATCTTACGAAAGGTATTTGTTTTCCTATGTATGTTTCCTGACCAACTCTTAAGACATTGAGCATCTTAAGAGTAACTTTAATAGGCGCCAGAAAAGCTAAGTGGTTGACATGGGGCAGCGTGTGGCTCAGTGGGCTAAACCTGCGTCCCTGTAATCAGAAGGTTGCCAGTTCAAACCCAGCCTCAGCACATCTGCTTGCTCCTTGAGCAAAGCCCTTAACCCCCAGCTCCCTGGGCGCTGCTACGGGTGGCTGCCCTTCACAGACAACTTACTCTACAAAGAGCAAATTGAGGGAGTTGTAAAGACAATTTCTCCACAGGGATGAATAAAGTATCAATTATTATTGATGGCTCAAGAATTGATTATTCCCTCTATGCAACAACTGCTTGGCTGCTGCATGAGAGACAGTGGCATTTTTTATAAATATAACACTGCAGAAATCATTAATCAGAACTGGGGAGAGCCGAAAAATAAAATACAAAATTAACAAATTGAATCGCTTGACCGTAAATATGATTTTCGGGGATTGGGTGCACGAACCCACCTTCCTAGATTGTAGTATCACCAAGCTGTTTTTATTTGTTCTATAAAACACCTACATGCACCAATATGTGTACATGTCATTCATATTTGGACGAGCAATGGCACAATAGCTGAAATAAAAGTTACGTTACTGTCTTAATATAAGAGAATGTTCTATATGCTTCAGTGCTGACTACTAAGGACTATTCCAGGGTGCTTTTTGGAGGAAAATGTATCAGAGAAATATGTAAATAAACCAGCAGTGTCGACTCTAATCAACTTCATGACCTAATGTTTTAATACTGTGACTTTGGCACATTTAGAAAGGTGTGTGCATTCCAGGGGCATCGGAAATAGGTGGAATGTATCCACCACGGACAGCAGAGCACCCCCCCATCCCTCCCCCCGCTTCCTTCCCAATTAATAAATAAATACATAATCAACACCGTGTTTCTTATCTTTCATTACGAATCTTCAATGAGCAGTACGAGCTGACAACAGCAATAAGAGACAGCTAAGAGAGGCTCAGACGAATTTTACGAAAGAATATCTTACGGAAGATCTACTTACTAAGGACGTTTCAGGAAATGCGTCGAAGCATTAAGAAACAACTTAAGGTAGAACTTATGAATGACGCAACATTAAGAAGGTTTCAGGAAACCCAGCCCTGAACATTTTCTTTGTTTCCATTGCATTTTGATTTACTGGGAAGGTCTATTATTGTACTTGCAAACCAATACTAAGAATGAATTAGCCAGGTAGACATTCGAGTAGTAATCTATACCAGGTGGTAGAGTGGTAGAGGGGTTATCAGTGTTGCCTTTCCTGTCTGGGACAGTTTCTGTCCCAGCTCTTTGTGTGGAGTATGTTGTGAGGTTTCTTCCTGGTTTCCCCCCAAAGTCCAAAAGCAAGCTAAGGTGAATTGTAGCTCCTGTGCGCACGTGGGTGTGGGGTAGTATCCCATCCTGACTTATTCCCTGTCTTGTACCTGTAACTTCTGTGGTAGGCTCTGTGACCCTGTGGACATTGAAAGTGGGTGGATAGATAGATAGATAGATAGATAGATAGATAGATAGATAGATAGATAGATAGATAGATAGATAGATAGATAGATAGATAATTTCTTCTCGGCTAGATATGCCATGGCAAACTGTAAGTGGTATTATTGCAAAGTGGAAGCATTTAAATGAGTAAAAGTTGATGATACTCCATTTACTCAATAGCTGCAGAGTTCCAAACTTCCTCTGGCGTCAAACCCAGCACAAAAAGTGTGGGCCAGCTGCTTTATCCAATGGGCTTCCACAGGCACAGCAGCTGCACGCAAGCCTCACGTCACCAAACGCACTGCCAAGCATCAGATGCAGTGATGTAAAGCACACCACCACTGGACTCTAGAGCAGTGGAAACATGTTCTGTGGCAGTAGGTGGTTCTCTATCTGGCAGTCGGGTGGACAGGTCTGGGTTTGGCAAAAGCCAGTAAAACATATTACCTGCCTGATTGCATTGTGCCAACTGTAAAGTTTGGAGTAGTAGGGGTAATGGTAGGGGTTGTTTCTCAGGGGCTGGCCAAGGCCCCTTAGATCCAGTGAAGGGAACTCTTAATGCTTCAGCATGCCAAGACATTTTGGACAATTCTATGGTTCCAACTTTAGGGGAAACGTTTGGGGAAGACCCTTTTTGTTCCTGCATGACTGTACCCTAGCGCACAAAACAAGGTCCATTAAGACATGATTCGGCATCGAACACCTTTGGGATGAACTACAACGGAGATTGTGAGCCAGGCCATCACGTGCAACATCAGTTCCTGACCTCACAAATGCTCTTCTGGATAAATGGGCAAAAATTCCCACAGACACATTCCAGAATCTTGTGGAAAGCCTTCCCAGAAGAGTGTCAGCTGTTACAGCTGCAAAGGGGGGGACTGACTTCATATTGATGCCTATGGATTTAGAATGGGACGTCATAAAAGTTGCTGTAGGTGTAATGGCCAGGTGTTCCAGATCGTGATATATACAAACTGCAAACAAAAAGTATACCTGACAAACTGAGTTTTAGTACAATCAAACTATGCAAGAATGAATGCACATGGTGGCTTTGATCATACCTCACCTTCTCCATGGTGCCATTGTCATCATACTGCCAGTTGAAGTAGAGGTTTTTAATGCCAATGCAGCTGGCATAGGTACAGGGCAGTAACACAGTGCTGCCGTTCACGGCCTCGATGAAGGGGATTTTGCCCACGGACATTTCCAGGGCTGTGGCTTGCCATATCCCTGAAGCAAGGGAAAAAGAGAAAAGGCAGTGAGCAGTGAAAAATTAAACTACTTAACCAGAGTCCAAACTAAACATACTGTATAACCATATAAAGCGTTGACATTGCTGTAATTCAGCAACCAAAATATAAGAACACTGGAAAAGTGGTATTCAAAAAAAAAATAAATTCCCATTTTATGAATGATTATTGACTGCAGCAAAATTAAATGAAACATTATTTGTCTGGTAATTACACTTATAAATGACTTGGTAACGCTAAATTTGAGGCACAGATAATGTAGTAGTACATTCGTCATTAATCAGTCATAATCATAACTTGAACTTTGCAGTTGAACTTTGCAGTTACTGTATTTGTTCAGGATTTGTACTTGAGTCTCAGCAGTTACTGACTTACTTCTTCCCCCTAACGGAAAGTGTTACCAATTATTTTTGTGTAAATAAGTTTCATTTCACAATATTCAGTTCACTAACAAATGACTGCAAGTTCTGAGAGGCTGCAAAGAACTAACCACAGGGTCAGCTCCTTTTTTGGCCTCATGATCTGCTGAATCTGCCAGCTGTATATCTCTGCGAACCTGCTGACAGTATTCCCATCATGATCAATAAGGAAGAACTTGTGATCAGGGATATGTTTTCATTGGGGGCCGTGTTTTGCTTGCAGATGTGAAATTTAATGCTGATTGTACTTCCATCATAAAGTCACCATTCTCTCGGGTCTCACATAGCTGGTACAGAAGACTGCACCAGCGTATGCTTCAACTCAGGGCTGTGAGGGATGGACAAGCAAAATTACAAATTACTATTAATCCAACAAGCTGCAGCTGCCAAAATGGCCAGTCAAAGCATCAGTGAGCACTGGTACCAGAGCCACAGCAGAGAGCAAACAGAGAGTCACGATATAAATTTAGACGTAGTTTGTGTATTGAGTACCAGCTTATATATCATCCGAATGTAGCGCATCGTGCCAGACTTATTTTAAGATCTGTTAGACCACATTACTTAGAACACAGTTTTATTGTAATAAAGCTGTCAATTCACGGGCAAAATGACATAATTTAAGAATTTCTTAGAATAAGGTGATCAGTGGTCATTGTTGACACACCACAGCACACAGTGCACAACAACGAAATGTGTCCTCTGCATTTAACCCATATGTGACTTTCGTGACATAGCAGGGGGCAGCTAATTCAGCGCCCGGGGGGCAGTGCTTGGGGGCGGTACCTTGCTCCGGTTACCTCAGTGGTTCCTTAACCATCAAGCCACCACTGCCCTTATTACCTATTGTTATTTAAAGGCAACTAGTATTATCACACTGACACCGTTTAATTTTCAGTTTTTGTAAATTAGAATTTGTAGTCTATACATAAACTAGTAAAATGAAATCATCAAAACAATATTGAAAAAGTTATCAAACAATATTATCAAACATTCTCTATTTTCTCAGCTCATACATATTATATTCGCAGAACATTCAGAACTGCCTATGACTTGTAATAAGTGAATGATTAGGTACCATAGTTTAAATTGGTGAAGATTAAAATTAGCGAAATGTGATCCAAGTTGATTATGTAAAAATCAAATAAAATTAGAATTGAATTGGTTAATGACATGGGAAAGACAGCACAGACTGGAAAGGGAAACATCACCTTTTAAAGATGGAACCTATGGGGAAATGATAGATTACCAGCTAGCCATGTTACAGCTATTTCCTTATGACATGTAACATTAGGAAGATCAGTTGTGAAATCACTCCAGATTCAAAATGCACAACATGTTACACCTCTTCTTGTCTACCTCCATTGGCTCCCTGTAAGTGCTTGCATCAAGTTCAAGTCCTTGTGTGCATTGCGTTAACAATGTGAGGGTTTAATAGGGTAACCAGATAATCCATGTCAGGCTGGACACTTTGAGCTACTTCAGGTTTTACAAACTGCTTGGAAACTGAATGGCTCCTGTTCTTGGCTAATAACTTCAGTTTTTCTCGCGCTTTGATTGGTTTGCTTCTTTGGTTGAAAGACTTATCCAGCTGTTTCACATTAACATTAGTGATGCACGCATGATTGTAGGAGACTAACCAATGAGCAGACAGGAAGAACTCTGTGCTTAAATCATGATCTTTTTAATTGAAATGGTAGTTTGCAAATCCTGTCCTAGTTCATTGGGTGCTCCCCGACATGGATTATCTGGTCACCCTAGATTTTAAAATGTCTGCCCCCCCCCAACAGATACAGATCAAATTGATCGATCATTAGTGATTCAGTTGTATTAATAATTGATTAATGATATAAAATGAATAGCTTTTAATGCCAACATACCCAGATGCCCAGTCCATGGCACCCTGGTAACACCAGAGAGTGCTGTAACATGAATGGAATGGTAATCTATAATCATAATAGTCATAATAATCATAATAAAATAAAACCAAAACATTCTATTAGCATCTCATAGAGAAGCTGATGTTACGTGGAGCCTGCTGGATTTTCGGTTTAGCAAGATAATTTGTCAGATTTAGCCCGGGCTAAATGTATGTGAACAAAGATAAAGTCCATTTAAGCCGAGGTACCTTTAATATGACGTTATCTAGCTAATTAACAAATCTCACTTTGTGATACAGACCCCAGGCTTATTTCTTTCTAAAACATTTCCAGATGGAGGCATACATAGGATAAAACATATATAAGTAAGATTTATGCATAAGATTTATTTTATTCTACTTAGGGCTTATACCTTAAAATCTTGCGATCTTTCATGTTGTAAAGTGCACTTTCCGCGGTTGTCAGGCTTCTGTTTTCAGTCATTTCCCAAGTAGGTTTAAGATTTTACATCAATCACACCGTCAGGAATAAATGTTTTTATTGGCCGGTCGAGTATATCTACATGTGGTATACTCCATTAATCACCAAGGTATGCGATTAAAAAAATATCGTTTAACATCCCTACTTATCACACAGTACCCTATCCTTTTTAATGCCATCGGTTCATCAAGTTTTTTGAAAGCACTGAGCTTGCAAGTAGTATTTTTGTTGGAAATCTGTACATTGCAAGTTTAAGTTTAAATATCAAACAAATTAAAATGTGAGTCATTCTCATATTCTCGAGAATTTTGGAGACCAAAATCTTTTGGGGAAATATAATGTTTGTTTTTAATGTAGGGCAGTAGACAGCAAAAAATCTGTAACACAAAATTACTAAAACTACTACTTAATCATAAAATTTTATTCCATGTAACCCACAATAAACCGCCAATTTGTATAATAATATGTATATATCTGCTCAATATTTTGTTAGTTTTGTCTTTTTTTCTCATTTGTATCTCGTCCTGGATTTTATCAAATTTATAATGTAATGTACTTACATTACAAAAATAAACGGCAGCAAAACTTAACTGATTTACCCCAGAGGCAAAATTGACAGCTTAGACAATGAAGATGTATAATTTCAGTCTGTGTAAAAATTAGAGAATTCATGCCAATGACCCTTATACTCCACTTGGTGTTAATTGTACACGACCAATTGTACACGCTTTTTCCCACCACAAATTTTTGCCACTTTTCCATTTTTTTTCTTGTTAAGCATTATTACAACTATAAACTAAAATTTAAGCCAAATAAAACAGGTTTCCTTTATAACATGGAAAGAGCATGTAACAGTGCGTGTCTGACATCCTGTTAACTGGTTGTGGTGATGGCAAGTCAAATTCTAGGCCGTCCTTTAAATGCATTAGTTTGGATTAGAGCAGTATTTAATGTCCTTTGTAGAAATAATGCCTTGAATTTTTTCCTCTCTTGTAACTGCTAGAGGGGGTTGATTTGATGAGTAAAAGATGACATTTTCTTGCTAATAAAGGAACTCAAATGGTGAATATACTGTAAATGTATATTCACCATTTGTTAGCAAAAAATATTGTGTATTTTCAGTAATTGTTAAGTGAGTAACATGCAAATGTAGAAAATCTCAGTGTGTGCAAAAACTTTTGACTGGTAGTGTACATTAATTTGGAATTCAATGTATTAATATTTTTGATTATAATTTTAATTCTTGACAGATATCTGTGTGATGAATTAGTTGATTTTTTAATAAATTCACAGCTGAATCAGCATGACGAATTTTACAATGATTTACAAGAGGGTGGAGAACACAGAGCGGAGCAGGGCAGGGCAGTGATGGACATGAGAGAATAAACAGATAAACCGACAAAGCAAAATATGTAGACCGTGGCAAGCAATGCAGTAAGAAAGGAATACAAGTATTACATGGTGACCTCATAGCTGTTCAAATCAGCATGGAATGTAGCATGACAATTGATGATACAAAATACAGAATATCCCAATAGGTATGATGAAGACAGAGCAAACCAGACACACAATGCTAGCAGGGCACCGAGAGCACAGATTGAAAGTAATAATAATAATAACACAGGAAGCTAAGTGCACAAGGCAGGGGTACAGCTTGACTAGAATGTCAGTCCACATGACATCTTGACATTAATATACTGTGATGCATGTGATTTATACAGGGTATAAATATAGCATGACAATAGACACGTGACTGTACAGTAGCATGTTCAATATTAAGATAAAGTGCAATTTTACATCTCATGTGGGAAAGTCTCTGCAGCTAGTGTGGGCTATAGAAAGGTATCACCCAGTCTTTCCTCCATGCATAGTTTGGACTCTAGAAGCAAACTGGAGTTTCTCAAGGTGACAAACCTCAGAGCTGTTAGTGGAAACTGAAGGTGAGACAACCTGAAGAAGGAGGCATTCAAGGAAGTGTTTGCATGGAATTCTCCTGACAGGACCACTGGCACGCAGCGACATGCCAGAAGGGCTGCAGCAGAAGCACAAGCTGGTGCATGGAAAGAGTTTGTAGATGACATTGGGGTGACCCAAAGATGTTTTGGAAGACCGTTAGATGCCTCATTGGGGGGAGGCAGGACCTTGATCAAGCTGTGTTCAGCAGGAGAGGAGAAGTGCAACTCAAGAATATTGGCGTGCAGAAGAAAGGACACTTTGAAGAACTCATGGTGCCCTCTCACCAGGTTACAGTGTTGGAAACTTCTGGTGGATCTGAATCACTGCAGCTGAAATCACTCTGGCAGTCGTAGGACTCCAGAGGGGAAAAGCTGCATGGGTGGATGAATTCCATCCAGAAATGTCAAAAGCACTGGATCTTGTTGGGGTGATGTGGCTGATACAATAGTTCAGTGTGGTATGGAAATTAGGACCGTGTAATATGGGAGTACCTCTGGACTGGAAAACAATGGTGGTTTTTATAACTGGTGTTTCAGTTTGTGGGGCTCATATCTCAGCCTTCTATGGAAAGCCTATGCCAGAATATTGGAGATGACACTGCACCCAATAGTCAATCCTAGGATTCAAATAGAACAATGCAGATTGCAATCTCCCTCACATTTCGGTCTGAAGATTTGTGGGAATATGCTACTTCAGTCTACATGTGCTTTGCAGACTTAGAGAAGGCATATGACTGCGTGCCTCATAATGTACTGTGCAATGTATTTCAGGAACATGGGGTACATGGGGTACTATGACTTCTACTGTGTGCTTTTCAGTCTCTATCTGAATGTAGTAAAAGTTGCGTCTACATAATTGGCACGAAATCGAAATTTAGAGTGGGTTTTGGCAAGGTATGTCTTGTCTCCACTTTTGTTTATGATTTTCATGGACAGGATATCAAGGTAAAGCTAAAATGGTGTACAGTATGGGAAGCTAGAGGTGACATCATTGCTGTTTGCAGATTATGTTGTACTTTTCTCACCAGAACCTCCCGCATATACTTGAGGGATTCAGTGCCAAATGTAAAACAGCTGAGATGAGAACCTGAGTCTACAGTGTTCTCATGTGCAATAGTGGACTATTCTCTTCCAGCGAGGAGGAGAGTATGCCCTCAGTCAAAGAGTTCAAATACCGTAGGATCTTGTACACAATGATAGTAGGAGGGAATGTGAATTTGACAGGCAGAACGGATTGATGGCTGTGGTTTTGCAGGCAAGTTAATAATGGTGAAGATGTCCCTATCTGCACCCATGCTCATGAACCGTGAGTAATATCCTACTCAACAAGGTCACGTGTACAGGCAGCCGAAAGGAGGTATCTCCAGTGTGATGCTAGGCTACTTCTTTGCGATTGAGTGAGGATTTCGAAAATCCTAAATATCCTCTAAATGGAGCCACTGCGCCTTTGGATCAAGAATAGTCATCTTAGAAGGATGCCAGTCATCTTAGAAGGATGCCAGCCATCTTAGAAGGATGCCAGTCATCTTAGAAGGATGCCAGCTGACTTCCAAATTAGCTGTAACGGCTACATCCCAATGAGCGGAGTTCCTGGTGCAGACCCAGAACATACTGGATGGATTATATCTTACAGCGTCTGTGAAATATTTGCGCAAGAGTTTTTGACCTTTGAAAGGGTGGTCTGGGCTGATCTGCCTGGCATGCTGCCACCGCAACCCTCACGAGGAGAAGCAGTACGAACATGACAAAGGTAACGATACCCGGATCCTACAAGAACACAATCGGTCTGTTGGAGATCCAGTTAAGTTGCAGGGAGGATGGTAATTGCCATAGTCTAAGCAATGGATAAGCGATCCTGAAATGAGGAATGGGATGGCTGGTATGGATGAGTGGAAGATGACGTATTTCCAGGTTTGGTGCGGAGTAATGCGGGGGGAATGCAACAAACAAGGGATGTGGTAGATATGCTGAACAAATTATAAAAATACAAAGCACTGGAGCACAAATATAAGCGACTAAGAATACATATTTTCTCCTCTACAGCTCCAACTCTCCCGATGACTCTCAGCTACCCTTTATCAGATTCTACCTTCCAGTTAAGGCAAACTTATTAAAGGAACATGCAGCCTGGCACTATCCCACAGCACTGTTCTAATGAAAAGGTGAGCAAACGCAACATGAGCAGCAACCCCCGGCGCTTGGGATGTAACATGTGCAGTGTCACGATGCAGTCAATCACTACAGGGAATTTAGGGAAACCAAATAGCCTATAACTGCATGACCGTGTATCGTGGGAGGAAACCCTACACATCACCAGGGGATCAGCTCAACACACACAGAGCAGAGCTCTGAGACCAATTTTATAAGTAATGTCTGTATCTCTGTACTTTAAAACGAGTGAAGTTAAAGGGCATTTAAAATGTCGAAGGGAGTAATTGGAGAAACAGTCTTCCAGCATGCAAGCGGAGCGAGCGTATGTCTATTTTAACGCCGTGTTGAACTTTTTCTCCTTACTCCTCTAGAAGATTGTGGACTGCGGTACCATAGTCTTTATCATCAGTGTTTTCAGAGAACCAGCCACTATATTGCCAAAGCATGTCTATAAAACCGGCCATTATATTTTAAATGTATATACCGATATAAAAGCAGCCATGTCATTGTGTGACAGCGCTGAAAGTTGTTTTCATTAAAGTTTACTGAATATTAGATTGAACACATTGTCAAGATGTACTGAAAAAAATAAATTACAGATCAGGCACAGAAAGTGGGTTAGACGTCTTGCATGAAAAATAGAAATTTACACCAAGCATGAACACACAGAAAAAAACTAAGATGAAACTCAGACAGAACAGTACAATGACTAATGAAAAATGTTTTATCATATATTTGAAAATCCCGACAATGTAAATAAGCATTTTTTAGCACATTCTAAGTACTTTTTATGGAGCTGATTGTAATGGCACATAAATTTGCACACTTCAAAAGGGACAGAGATCAGCACAATTCATGCCTCCCCACTGCAGGCAGCCGGCCAGGTGAACGTGAGACAGAGAGGGGGCAGAAAGAAACGCAGGGATGAGGAAGAGATAACAGGCAGTTTGTAACCTTACCTAAAAGCAAGCCGATAAAAAGACCGCAATGCACTATATCCCTGAAGTGCGTACACCTGTGCAGAACTCCATATATCCAGGACTCCATGTTTGTCTCCCTGGTGCAGTTCCTGCCTGCCTGTCAACACCCTGTACGCTCCTCTGAGAAGGAGTCCGATGGAGATCAGTGGAGGTAAGGGGTGTGGGGAGTGTGTGTGTGAGGGGGTGGGACACAGACCCAAAAAAAAATTAAGAGATGACTTAGTCAATCAGCTGATGTCCGGCAGAGGAACGCTTACCTCCCTCCTTCATTCTGGTGCACAAAGAGTGAGCGTGAAAAAAGAGCAAGAGAGCGAGAGAGAGAGCGAGAGAGAGAGAGAGAGAGAGAGAGAGAGAGAGAGAAAGCTGCAGTCCTTCCCGCATTAGCCGGGGACAAATATAAATGGTCTGTAGTACTTCACAACTTCACTGCCTCTAACAGAAAAGCAAATTCCCTTGTGCACACAAAAGGAGGGAACTTTAGATGAGTCTGAGCAGCAGATAAAGCAGGATGTAGTCCGCAATTTTCTTGATGAGTCACCTAGATTTTAGAATTTTATGAATGACTCAAAAGGGAGGTGAGTCAAGCATGGAGTCCTGGGATAGTATATCTGTCCCAGATTATAATAAGGGGGGGGGGGGGAGAAGAGCAGGAGACTGAGGCATGTATGAAGAGGGGGGCCTAACTCAGGTATTAACTGGGGTCCTGTCCTTTCAAAGAACGATCCATTTTCACCCGAAAAATGATGCTGCAAAAATTTGCAATCCTTCCTTTTTTGAATTTCATTCTATTTTTTTCAGCCTTAAAAGAATTAATGAAACTATCTGATTGCATTGGGGTGTGTATTTCTGATGTTTATAACATTTCAGGTAGATGTGAGGCTCCCCCGACTGTCCATTTCACTCTCGGTTACTCAGCGTCTGGCCCCTACTCAACTTCACCTCAGTCTTTTTTTGGATCACTGCCTCTCTCTCTCTGGTTTGATTATTCCTCCTTGAGTTTTGGAAGCGAATGCAAACGTAGGCAGTTTTGTGTTAAGGAGTGCTAGATCAGGGGGAATTCTGCAGTGCAGGTTCTTATCCATGGTAAATCATAAAGTCAGCCTTTGAAGTTCCTATATATCCAGTACTTGACACCTATGGCTATTGTATTTTTCTGTGGCATGCATCTGGCATGCTTGTAATTGGAATTCCAGCAGAAGTGGTGGAAAACATGTTGTCCTTACTAAGGAATGCATCTTTCCTTTCACCGTGTGAACCAATTTAATGCAGAGCTGCAGCAGGTACACTAATATTTGTGAAGGCATGGTACTTAAGCTTACATGACAGATCAGAATATCACAGATTTTTGAATAAATACATGTTGTTTTTTTTTTTTTTTTAAATTTCATTTTAATTCTATTTGAGGCAAAGAGCATATTTTGGATTGTTAGAGAGGAATTTGCACCTATCCAAATATTTTCAAAGATTAGATGGTTTGCAAAATATAATTTTTATTGAGTTCTGCCTTCATAGCTAACCCACAAATGCAATCATATATAGCAGAAGTGTAAGTGTGCATGAGTCAGTATAATATAAATCAGTGAAATGGAATTTGTTTTTGTATTAACTGATGGTGAAGGTCACTTTTGTAACATAGTTAAGGTCAGGTATTAATTGTGGTGGCAGGGAATCCTTAGATTCACCTTACTTATGGCTGGTGTTACAGTCTCATATTAAGAAGTCAGCATACTTTTACTCGAGCTTTTGAATAATGTAGTAGTACACGCTTACTTAATGCATTAATTAACCAGTAACTAAGTGTTTGTTAAGTACTGATCCCATGTTCATTCATCATTAATCAATCATGACAGTTCATGTATTTAATGGGGAAACCTATATTAGTTCATGATTTGTTCTTGAGTGGTAAATTAGTTAAGTCATTTTTGCCCCTCGAGTGAATTCTTACCTTTATTAACTAATTAGTTAACTGCTAGCTAATATAGTGTCTTATTGGAATGATCTGTCACGATTGATTAATCATGAAAAAGCATGGGATCAGTATGTAACTAACACTTAGCTACTGGTTAATTGTTGCATTAAGTAAGAATGTATTACTACATTATTCATGTTCCCTCAAATAAAGTGTGACCAAGCATTCAAATGTTTATGACAGTGGGAAATGTGACAAAGGGAATCGTGTGCTAAACACAAAGGAGTTTGTCAGTTGTACAAACAGTGGCAGTGTTATAGGCAAATTACATGGTGTCTATTTTTATCTGCGACCGTAGCTGTACAGTATTCAACCTCTGACATACATCTCTGGGTACGTACGAAGAGAACTGTTCACATGCATGTTCTACATAAAGTGCTTTCCTGGTGAAAGCCATGAGGTAGATGACAAACAGCGAGAAAACGAGCATGAAGACAAAGCCACAGAACCAGGTCACTCCGACGGCACTGCAGAAGACAATAAAGAAATGCAGATCGCCTTGATCCACACAATGCCAGCTTCTGTCTAAACTGCATAGTGGTGTATCCTGGGAGCTCAATGGAAGCAGAATGACAGAATGGACCAGAGCACGTTTTCCGTGAAGAATTCACTAGGTTTGTATCAGCAGATGTCTTAATCAACGCGTCATGTGACTCTGTTGGAATTAATTATATTGTTAGAGATAAGTAGTTACAGAAATGTTATGAAAATATACCGTATACAAGTGTAGTGTAGTAACTTACAATATATGTGTCAAGAGACAAATTACATGAAAAAACACAAAAAAGCACTAAAATACAAAATTATTCAATGACCCCCTTTAAGCAGAGTCAGTAGGCGGCATTGTCTAAACCCCTAGGTTTGTTCTTGAGACACTGTTGCAGATTGTGAGTCTGAGTCTAGCTGATGACCCAAGCAGGAAGCAAAAAAGGATTTTTTTTTAAAAAAGGTTGTTTCAATAAATAGGTTATACACAAGCAAAGTTACTTTGGTGCAATATGCTAGATTTAACTATAGGCATGATAAGATGGACAGAAATGTAGCACACACAAAGACATGGGACAGTCAACACAACAACAGTTAATGGAGGTTAACACATGCAATGTTAGGGCTGTTTAGGCAACAGAACGAAAAGATGAGGATAGCTGTAACTGCTTCCCGTACAAGCTGGTGGAATTTGAAGAATTAAATATTTATTTAAAAAGACATAAGACAAAAACTAAAAATGTTATTCTCACAAAGGATATTTTCTCAAATGAAGTGTTTTTTATGTTTATAAGACTAAAGTTTACTTTTAAAATAAATAACCTCTTGAAATAGATTTAAAAATTGTACTTAGACATCATTACACTATTCTATTGTATGTCTGTTTTATATTGGTTTATGAATAACATGTGGAGATTTTAAAATGGTCATATTACTTGTTAAAACAAAAGTAAACAATGCATTTTATTGTGATATTTATTTGTTTTTTTTTGTCATGGCTACCCTTATTCTCATTTACTTACAAAATGTGTTTTGTTGTACTGTGCTATAAGATTTATTAGCAAAATAAGTGTGGAAAGACTGAATTTGGGCAGAAGATCAGTATTGTTGTGTACTATTTAAAAAATGCAGCCATTGTTTGTTAATGGAACAGAAATGTAATTATATTCTGCAGATTGTGTATTTATGTGGTAAAATAAATCTAATTCATTTGTATGAGAAAGAAAACATTCTGTTAGCTTTATTGTATCAGTCCTGACCTTGTTCACCTTGATGCAATGCAACTCAGCAGTGTGTGTGTGTGTGCGTGTGTGTGTGTCTGCATTTCCCCTCTACAGTTCTGCAGTGCTGCATCAATCTGCAGTCCCCGGGATTTTTTTGTGTATTTCTGGATGAGTTCCCACTGCTGCTGCAGTTTCTCCCTCCATCAGAAAGGCTCCAGCAGCAGCTCCGAGTCCAGCCAGCATCCCACAGCAGCAACATCCCACCTATCCTCTGCTTTCTATCTGATTAGACTCAATCCCCCTTCTTCTTTTCTCATCTATTTCTTCTTTTAGTAATGTATATTGTTAAATATTGTAACACTTTACTTGTTTAGTATTATGCTATTACATACGTACTAATTAACCACAAACTAAGTCTTTGCTACATACTGATCTCATGTTTGTTCATTATTGATGAATTGTGAATTGTATCTTTTAACTGAAGCAGTTATTCTTACTATATTGTATCTGTTAACTACTGAAGGAACTACTGAAGGAACAATCATGAATAACACGAGTGAAATGCTGATTTCATGTTTGTTCATCATTAATGAATCGTTTATCCCAAGTAGCTACTATATTTGCTCATGATTTATGCTTCAGTAACTGTTACCACTACGTATTTGTGCCTCGTCAAGTAAAGTGTTACTGTAAATCCATCATCTCAAACAAGTAGTTTTAGAAACGTATAAAATAAATAAAGAGACTTTCTGTAGATGGTTTAGGGAAGCTACAGTTCTGCCAAATGAAACCCCTTGCCTTCCTGACTGAGGGAGTCAGTAAAGAAGTGGATACAAATACAGTCCTGACCGTGATTTACACACTAGTGCTGGTGCAGTTTTGAACATTTTGGTATTTACTTGAGGTGACACAATCAGTACATAACTAACACTTAGTTACTGGTTAATTAATGTATTAAGTAAGTGTGTACTGCTGCATATTTTTATAGCAAAGTCTCAAGACAGCTGCTGAGGTTGGTTGACTGAGTCACTGCTACAGGGCAAACCTCAAATACGGCAGGAATGGTGATCCGGCGGTGACCTATGCAGTCCTCTAATGTGACTGATAACAGTTAAATGTAACATGGGGCACCTAGTCATGACATGGCAGACTTTATTTGGCATGCGTCATGGGACAGGTCATCCTGTCTCCGTTTAGAGTTGTATATTAATAATGTTCTATTATCAGAGATTTATGGCATTCACTATGCAAGCTTTTCCATTTCATGACTGTAAGGACCTTGGAGAGGGATGGCGTTTGTTCAGCATGTCTGGTTGTCTATAGTGAGGTCTCCTGTTGAAATGGGTGAAAAATTTAATTGGGAGGGACAATAAAGAGAAAAATGTCTCAAGAGCAATTCCTAAGAGGGACACAAAAAATGCCCCCAAAAGTACTATTGTACTTGTATTAAATGTATATAGATGAAACCCTTGTTACTATTGCATATTTGATAATTGATAATTGATAATTGATTGATATATAACTTAAGGTTAGCATGGTCAAATGGTTTAAATACATTTATTCTTTTCTTATCAAGATTTTATCAAATTT